GTGTGTGTGTGTGTGTGTGTGTGTGTGTGTGTGTGAGGGAGAGAGAGAGAGAGAGAGAGAGAGAGAGAGAGAGAGAGAGAGAGAGAGAGAGAGAGCTCACCGGCAGCTTGCGACGTCCCCTTTCCCAATGGCGGGGTGGGGGCCGCGGGGGAAAGGGGGAGGGAGACACGGAGAGTTGAGAGAGAGAGAGAGAGAGAGAGAGAGAGAGAGAGAGAGAGAGAGAGAATGGGGTGGGTGTTCACCAGGCGCGTGGCACTGTCGGTGGCTTTTCCTGTACCGACCAAGTGGGGTCATTTTCCAACCCGAACAGGGTCCTGCCAGAAGCCAAAAGCGGGAGGCCCTGCTACCGGTACCTGCTCCCAGGCCAGGCCAGGCCAGGCCGACCACTAGCCGAGTCCACCTCCCGTTTTTGCCAATTACTATTGAACCTGTAGGCCGTCGAACGCATAGTTTACTGTTTTTTCGTGCAGTTTCTAACTGGTCTTGGCCCAATCTTGCAGTGGACTGTTATTTCTTCGAATTCTGAACTGTGCAGGGGTCACAGGCGCAGTTGTCTCTTTTCTTTATCAACAGAGAGCATCTTGCAAGGACAATGGGCAAGAGCCAAATGACAGCAATCCAATTTTCAATAGCATAAAAAGCCAGATAGCACCAGCCACCTTGCATCCAAAAAAAAAAAAGAGAAAAGGCCATGTATCATTCGGGACGATGCTTCTTATAGAAATGTACAACACACCAAGACTCAAATTTGTGTCACACATTCATTCAGTACGTCATTGAGCATACTCGTTGACAAAGGGAACAGCCGGTAAACCTGGCAATGCTGGCATTAAGAATTCTTCACTATCTTGTATAAGATACCACTAATCAGATGGAAGGCGTGATATGATCGCCATCATCGCCTGCCCCAAAAACAGACCTGGATGAGCAATTATAGAGGACGGATTAACTATCAGCTCGTGCTGTCAGGGTGCGCAACGGACAGTTCACCCAATGCCAATGGGACAGATGGATTTCGCATGACAGTGGGAAATCCCATGGACAGATTTAGACTCCCTACCTTTTCTTCTTACAAGATTCCTGAGGAAACTATCCCTTCCAGAACAACAGGGCTCTGCCGCCCCTGTCCACTCTGTTCGTTTTAATACCTCCTGACGAGGGGCCCGGCTGCTTTTCAGACTGGTTTGAAGTCAAGGGTCTCCCCCCCCTTCCCCCACCCTCTGCATGTGCAAGCTTTTGTGATTGTTGTTTTCTCAAAGGGGAAAAAAAGGGGGAGACGAAAAAGACGAAGAAAGATACATGACGCCGAATGAAAGACATCGATCCCATTTGGTCCAGGGCGAGGAGTTACTGATCCGGCGTCTCGCGGGGAAGAGAGAAGAAAAGTAGATTATCGACAAAGAAAGAGTGAAAGAGAGGGAGAGAGAGAGAGAGACCAGGAGAGAGAGAGAGAGAGAGAGAGAGAGAGAGAGAGAGAGACCAGGAGAGAGAGAGACCAGGAGAGAGAGAGAGAGAGAGAGAGAGAGAGAGAGAGAGAGAGAGAGAGAGAGAGAGAGAGAGAGAGAGAGAGAGAGAGAGAGAGAGAGAGA